CAATTATGGAGTTTTTGTAGTCTTTCTGCCACTTTCAAATATAGATAACTTTTGCATATTTAAAGACAGATGCTTTTGTTAACCAGGACCTTGCTACATGTTGGATATATACAGCCTGTGTTCAAGGTACTAATTCAAATATTCCAATCCTTGAAGTTTACCATTAAATGAATGTGAAGGCATTCATGAGAATGGATATATGTGGTATAGACAGAGTTTATATATATAGTGCTTAGTAAATATGTGAAAGTTAAACTTGTCAATATGAAGCAAGATTGAATTTCAGTTACATAGCCGGACATTTAGTTATCAAGAAGGGTACTTCGTTTGTACAAATCACAGTACTGCTAAAGTTAGTTCATGACATCTCCTTTATGCCTTCTAAATATTGACTGAATCAGTCATCCTTAGTATAACATTTATAACAGTTTTGTTTATATCTAATGTCTGTTTCAGTGGCTCTCCATCTTTTGGGAAATTTTGGAGTCCTTGGAGAATTTGAGGGCCATAATGAAACACTTTTCTCAGGAAAATGTTCATCTATATACACTTGCCAAATTACTTAATATATACATATATATAATTATAAATATAATTATTATATAGATATATTAGATATAGGTATTATATATTATACCTATTACACATATATATGTATATATATATCATATCTAATATATGTGTATATGCATGTGCATTTATGTTTTTAAGACCTGGTGACTCTAGTGTTCTATGCCTCCAGGGTCAAGAACATAAGAATTCTTGGTGTCTTTGCTGATCATAGATTTTAAATGGTCACCATCAGTGAAATGCCATACATTTTAAAGGTGAGATAAATTATATAGTCTTTCATTTAAATATTAAGGAAATGTGAATTGTTTTCCATATTAAATTTTAAAGCTCATGAATTACTATTAAGAAGTAACATGCATCTATAGCAAGATAGGAACAAAATTGACTGAACATTCATGTTTACGCCTTTGGCCATTGAAAAAAAGAAAAATGAAAAGGCCAAACTGAAGTTTTTCTATTAAGAAATTTTTTTTTGAAGACCAAGGTTTTAAAACACAACTTTTCAACTAAAACTTGCTGATGAGTCATCTGACTTCCAAAAAGTGACTAAGCTTTGTGAACTGTAAATAGCATATAATTATATGGAARCAAATGTGTTCTTTTATACATTTATTTTTTGTTTTGTGTTGGTCTTTTTAAAAAATTTTTATTTTTCAAAGAACCCAAGCTGAACACACATTTCTGACGTGTTTTTCTCAAAGCTATAATAATATTGCTGGTGGCCACCTTTAATTTGTCCTTAGTTGTGGTAGGTAGATTAGTTCAATATTACATTTACCAACCTAAGAAGATGGTGTTATTATACTTAATGTTTAGATAAGAAAAGTGAGAATCAAAGAAATTAAGTAAATTGTAGTAACCATTAAATGAATGCCTCAAGTGACTGAGAGTGTTGGAATTTATCACTGGTTCATTTAACTTGGATCCCATTGTATTTACAGAGAAAACCATATTTATGAAATCAGCATCTTCATGGACTGTTGTTTTTCAATGAGTTTTATGAATTTGTGTGTTCAAGTAGAGATGTTTAATGTATATTTGAATTTAAAAAACACGCCAATATGTTTCTCCTATTTGCCACCTTAGGATGGAATTTCTTTTCAAAGGTAGTCTTCCTTATTGTTCCACTTTATTGTAAAATAGAGCCATCTGTAATTTTCTTTCCTTTTCTTTTTCTTTCTTTATTTCTTTTTTTTTTTTTTTTTTTTTTTAGATGGAGTCTTACTTCCTTACTTCTCACTATTTGCCCAACCGAGCCAGACTTGTAATTCTCCCATCTCAGCTTCCAGGTAGGTAGGACTACAGGCATGTGCCACAATGCCCAGCTTGCCGCATGTAATTTTTTCAATCAATAAATCACAGTTGTATTAAGAAATATTTTATTAACAAAACAGTAAATTCCACTTGCTTAGCATTTCCAATAATGGATAAATTGGCCTTGCAACAGAAAAACAAAACAAAACAAACCCCTTAGATACCCAATCACACAAAGCACTAGAAGGGTAAGATCATGTGGCCTTTCTTTGATGTCATAGGGATTGACCACCTCACACATTATTGTAGTAGTTGTTTTTTTTTTTTTAAAGGCAACATATTACATGGATATAAAAGAAGCATACTCAATCAGAAAAGTTACAGTCTAGAGATGTAATCAAATTTATGCCAGGTAGTGTGAAATTCTCTACTAATTACAAATTATGCATGAACCCTGATACATTTGGTATGAAGATACTTGGATTGTATTCAAGTCTCTTTCTCTCCCTAACTCATGTTCCTCTCTTTTCTTTCTCCATTCAGGAAGAAAACTGCTAGATTTCATGTAGACCAATAACATTAGAAATATTTTTACTGGCAATATTAGATTGCATCATTGTATGAAATTTTAAAATTTATTCTGGGAAGAAACACTGAAATTAATCCCAAACATCATGATTCACAAATATACTGCTTAAAAATACCACTGTTCAATTTATTTGTTATCATATTTTAGATTCTCTCTAGATGAAACTAGTTCAAGTTCAATAGATTAAATGTTAAAGCAACCATATTTTTTTAACCTTTAGTTGTAGATGAGTGTTTTTATATTCCCTTTTATTTTTCTGGCTTTCCCTGAGTAAGACTGAAAGAGAGGGGAGGAACAAAAAAAAAAAAAAAAAAGACTTGTGAATTCTTTAACCTGGCAAATTAAAAAGAAGTAAAACCTGAAACAGAAGGGATATCAAATTTTAGTTTTAGCATCTACTTTCTGGGTCATGAAAAGCCTTTAAGACTCTTCTTACACAATTACTTGGCAACCATAGGTAGTGGTGATTTGCTATGAATTATACATATTTCTAAGGTACTGTATGTCTGAAGTTCAAGCCACTTATTGGCATTTTTATATCAACTAAAATGTCACAAAAGATGTTTTGCATTTTTTGCCCTTGCTGATTAAAGCTAATTGTAAAGGTATTCTTTCCTATGAAATCTAGAATCATTCTTCTAGGACACATTCAAGTAATGTGACCAAGTTTTACTGATGCATCTCCTTGCAATCCAATAATGCATGTCCTTTGCATTACTTTCTCATACTAATAATTTATTGCTATGAACATCATTGAAACAATATGCAAAACAAGTGTATATTCTATACTTTCCTAATACTTAATGTATGTTAAACTAAAACTATATTTAATGATATAGATGTAAAACAAGAAAAGTTAAAATTTAGTCAATAATCAACAAATAGAGAACAATTTTAAATGGGTAGTAATACAGAATCAAAAATTATTGAAAATACTTTTTTTAGTTGAGAAACTGTTTACTTTCCAAAAAGTTTTATCATGCACATCAGGTTCAGAGAATATATATATATGTATATATATTATTTTGTTGGAAACAAAATTTTCAATTGCAGCAGCCAGAGTTAAGGTGTAGATTAACCAATTTTGCTTCTGTTACCTGCCCACATAATGGTTCCTATTCATGCAGCAGTATACCAGTGATATTCTGTTTGATTAGGGATTAAATCTTCTTGGGGTTTCCTGGGAGCAAGATCTCAAGGAAGCAAATCACCCCACTTGTTATAATACCTTGGCACAACTATCTTCCTTCCTGCTTTTCAAGTTGTCAGTAAATATTTGTGACTATATGCATGTTTGGGTCTTTCATCATATCTGATGGACTCCTGTGTGTGTGTGTGTGTGTGTGTGTGTGTGTGTGTTTGTGTATGTGTAACTGAGAATATGAATGTATATGGGAACGTGAGTATTTTGGGGAGAAAAGTTTATAAGATACTTGTGTATATATTTTACCTTCTAATTCACACCTTTCATACAAATACTAAAACTTAATTGCAACAGAATGAAGGCTGTACATATAAGAAAAAAAGTAGCTGAGTCTTTTTATATACATTCATACATATCTTTCTTAGAATAAACACTACACTGTAATTGTTCTTTTTTTAAAAAAAAAAAGGTGTGGCAATTTATAATGGTGGCAAAAAAAATTGACTGAAATAATTGTTGCTCTGATGTCATAAAACTCCCTATATTTAGCAACACTTATAACATTGAGTTACCAAAAATGGCTGAAGAGCAGATATATTTTGCATTTTCTATACAACAGGCTATAAAACGTCACTTATCACAGTCCAGAAAGCACACAGAGATGGATTTTATATAAACATATGTAATAACATAGTAAGCGTGCATGAAAATTTCCCAATGATTGCATCTATGCCCTCTTGTTTTTCTTTTTGAAATTTGAGTGTGAAAATGTGCCTTATATTTCACATTTTTGAAAATAAGGCCTCCGTATTTTTTTTTTCTCTTACAACCAGAAAGGGGCTTTTTGAATGTGTTCCTACACAAGTCTTCAAAAAAGCCAGCACTTTGTTTCAAATGCAAGTTCCAACCACTGCTCCAGTTGCACCAGGCGGCAAACTCTTAAAGGATTGCAGGTTGAGTCACTCAAAATGACAGTCTTCTCTGGCAATGGGACTAACTGACTTCTCAGGAAAGCGCTGGCACTTTGGCTAAATCCAGGATCATAGGTAGCTTCTTTTTTTGTGTGTTATGTTTTGTGTTGTTTTTGTGTTGTGCCTTGATTTTGTAATACTCCTTTGCTTTATGAATGCGTGCGGTCATCACTGTCTTTTAGAAATGTTCCAGCAACATAAAGACAGGCAGAGTAAATGAAAACACTGCGGATGTTAGGGAATTTATTGGCCCCTGTTTTTTTTTTTTTTTTTTTTCGTTTTTTTTTGTTTTGTTTTTTGAGAAACAAGAGCATGAGATACTTGTTTTGTTTTTGTTTTTTTTAAAAACAGTCTTTCCTTCCTGATTGCATTCCCTGTCTTCTTTTGTATGTGCTTCATAAAAAGGAAAGTAAATAAGTTTATATTATGTCTCAGATAAAATGAAGACTATTTCTATACAAGTGTCCTTTTAAGATCTTGGGATCAGACGTAATACTCTTTATCCTTGTTTTTCTTATTTTTGTTGGCGCTTTTCGCACTGCTGGGTTGTTTCTCCTTTACCACAGCCCCGTTAGACTGTGCTGAGTTACTGATGTAGTTTCGACTCTCATCCACATGGTATGAGCCTTCATCCCGGTTCCTGTACTTGTACATGGCATAGAGGAGGATGAGGATGCATAGGGCAGCTGCAGCTACTATCCCGACGACCATGCCCGTGGTACTGCTGGACTCCCGGATCACTTCTGCAGAGCCTGGATACGGCTCTCTCCCTCCTACTCGGGTGGGGTTGGCTGTAAGAAACAGGATGAGAACAAAGTGATCATTGAGTTTCCTGAATGCTAGAGTACTATACTAACATGTACCATCTATTTCAGTGTTTAATGGAATAGCACCTACTGCTTTAGGAAAATTATACTGCTGTTAATGGAGCAATCCTTGTGCATCATCAAACTAAAAATAGGGACTACCTCTTTGACAGTGTCTTAGAAGCACAGCCCCAAATCAGCTCCAACTAGCTCTAAAGGACCATGTTGGTACTTAAGGTGAAAAGCCTTAAATGTCAAATAAACATGTCAAGTAAAATCAGAACAGTTCTATCCTATAATATCTGAAGGAATCATTTTAAGAATGAAATTGATATTGGGGCAGGGGATATAGCTCAAGTAGTAGAGTACTTGCCTCGCATGCACAAAGCCCTGATTCAATCCCCAGCACCACCAAAAAAAAAAAAAAGAATGAAATTGATGTTGCTTCAGAATAAGACTAACTCTGGACTAAAATAAGGACAGCTRTAATATAGGACTATATTAGAAATCCTTTTGCCTGGTATTGTAATGAACACACTATTAGATAATGAGATAATCCAGCCATTTAAAATAGTTTGTCTGCTTTTTAAAGTATAATTTTAGTCACCTCTTTATAAACTAAAACACCTAATTTCCTTTTCTACTGGGGAGTCGTTCGTTTATATAAATATTTACGCATTCTATTTATACACTGACAGTGGTTGAATGATTTTTCAAAGCCAAACTTTGGAGGCAAAAGTAAGAAATATTCTTTCTYCATTTTAAATATCTCCTAGAATGGTTTTTAGTCAAAACTCACTACTAATAGATGGTAAGAGAAGACTGGCTGGCCTAGCTTTATTCACCTGACAAAACCTTCATTCAAGTCTTTCCAAAGTATAAATAAAGCTATTCTTGGGAACAAGCAGTGAATTACAGGGTGCCTAATGTCTTCACCAAGGGCCAGGCAGGCTCTGCCATTCACCACAGAAGGCAAAGAAAAGAGCTGGAATTTAGCAGGCCAAAAGGGGAGGAGGATAGGCAGCTCYTTTTCTCTATACACTACTTTTTTTTTTAACTATAAAAAATAGGAATTATTAAAAAATCCTATTTTTCTTTGACCCTAGCTAATTTTTCTTTAAAGATTTTGCTATTATTCCTCTCCACTGTCCTATAGAAAAAGATTATTTTTTCAGATATAATGGATTAAAATGCTACAACTTTCAAAACATTATTTGTAAATTATGCACAATGAATTTAAACAATCTCAAGCTTGCACATGTATATATAGATCATGCATGTATATATCTGTGATATGTACGTATGTATGCACACACAGCAGGAATTGAAAAACTCAAGAAGACAAACTGTACACTTATTTTACTATTAAACATCATTTAGTAATCAGCTTTAGTATTTCTACAAAAATTCTTGTTTATTACTGAAAATCATTTACCAAGACACATAGCCCTAGACTGCTTTGTAACTCCATTTTCAAACATCACTAAGATTTCTTCTGCCTACATGTTGGATTTTTTGCTGTCATTTTCTGTTCCTCCCCAAAATAAAGTCTTATAAATATAGCCACTTGCAAAGTAAAAGCTCTCAGTCTCAAAGCAGCAATATGCTATGTACTGGAGCTATGAAATGTAGCAGGTGAAACTGTTCTATGACGATTCTGTCACTGCTTGTTTTACCAAAGCCCATGAAACATTGCTGAATAAAAAGCCTTGGTGTTACTTCTGTGGCCAAGACAGAGGAGACAAAGACTATAATCCACGGTATTTGATTGCAGGAAATTAATTTCCTCTCAAGAAGCATAGAGCCTATTGCAGTAACTCTGTCACTACCTGACAAACCAAAGGCAGCACTTTCTCGTTTAAATACAGTCATCTTTGCCAAAGTGTGCCAATTAGCTCAGCTTCTAACTTTCCCTGAATGACAACTTTCGACTCGCAGTTTTTGCAGAGCATTCTTTGCTCAGACTGTCTCAAGAGCTAAAAAGGGAATTTTACTTAAATGTTACCTAAATGCTTTTTCCCCATCTGATGGAATATTTTCACTTGAAACACATTTTCACAATCATCTCACTTTTGTCTATCAGTAGGAAATGGAAGTGGGGGATACAACAATAACCTTTTAATGAAATGGAAGGATTAATTTTTGATACTAAGAAACTATATGTCTAGTCAGGAACTGCTGTCATAAATGGACTATCTTTTCCAAGAATATTAATTTTATCTCTCAAACACATCTGAAATGGTTTCAAAACAACTGTGGATATAAAACACCAGTAACAGATGTATGTTGACACTAGCATGAAACCACAATGATGAAAGCAAAACCTGAAATTCTTCAATTTATCAATACCAGCCAAAATGTTGCTCAAGTCACAAGGCCAAAAACAATTTCCATGTAGCTCAAATATAAAGATTCCAAATAGCATATATATTTTTAAGTAACATATGATCCCCTCAAATCACTAAAATCTAACCCCAAAGAAGAAATATTTTATTATCCCCACATTTACTTTACATTTTAATGACAACAGGTATTATAGATCTGTTTGGAATATGCAGTTGCTTCCATTTCTAATTGATTAATTAATCTTTTTTTTCTATTGATGCTTCAAATCTGAAGACTGATTGATAGTTCCCTTAACTTTTGTTCTAAGATCAAAGGTATTTATGTGTTAATGGGCCATCTTTCCCAAACATGCAACTAGAGGCTRGAGAAATTTAAATATATTCATGAATTATGAATGTGGTTTCACTTATCAATTGTCACTCATGCTTTATTGTGATGATCACTGAAAAATTACTGAGGATATTTCATCCTAATTTGAAAGTAGAAAATAGTACAAAATGGTGAATAAAGATCAATGTTTTCTACAATTCGTCCCAAAAGATATAAAAGAGAAATGCAATCATCTTTTAACCATTTAGGAAAATGTGAGAAAAAGAAACTTTAATAAAATAAAAAGTGGAAAATCTATTTCATGGATTTGAGAATTTTGCATTCTTTTTATACTCCCTATTAAACAAAAACAAGACTTTTAATAATTAAAATAATCTACAATAAAAATACAATAAAAAGTTACTTTGGTCTTTTCTCCCTTTCTTTGCCCCAGAATGTGATAAAAAAAAAAATTTAAAAAATAAGTGAAAGACAGTGAAGGAGGAGGGACTAAAATAATGAAACACATGAAATTAGCTTTAACTTCTGAATGGTTTGTAGGCAAAACCAAGTTGAAGTAGCAAGTTTATCTTATTGGACCTGGAACAGAAGTGTTCCTGTTAGTAGCAAACTTAAGTAGGAACGATGGTATGCATTAAATAAGCTGAGGCTTTTTAGCAATTAGGTATGATTAGAGATAGAAAAGTATTCAAATTTGGTGGTGGCATACATATTTCACTTGAAGGCTAAGTCACTAGTGAAAAAAAAGCAAAAATGAATGTAAAATCTAAATATTTTGACCTACTTGTATTCACACACAAATTGTGAATTACACACAGTTTAAGAGAACACTGCAATACATTATTGTTCTTATCAAATTTCCCCATGCAATTCTGACTATCCACATTTAATGAAGAATGTCTATTATCATGTGCCCCACAATGTCAACTGGCACTGAGGGTAAACTGCTAAATCTAAGTGTAGGGAGAGCACATATGCCCACTTTCATAGCAATGGAAAGGACCTTCATTGGCAGTTTACCCTAAATGAGTCAGAAGCTAATTGATGACAAAGAGCCCTTAGGAGGGTTATGACCTGTTCCATCTTCATATTCACTTTTCATACTCAGCCAAATGGTTATGGAAAACTTCCTGAGACTCATGCACTGATAAATAGTGTTCCTTAAAGGACAAATTAAAAAAGTAGCTTTCTTTTTCTCTTTGTCCTTCCCATTTCTCTCCCCTAATATTTGGCAAAATTTTATGATCTCCAAAAGTTTTCCACCTGATCTACTTTGGTCCAAATAGATGATGAAGGATCCAACATCCCAGCTCTATGAAGTTTCATGTTTCTCACTGCCTAATTAATATTTTGATTACTTAGGTAGGCATATGCTTTCAAGTGTTAGGACAGTCAACATATTTCCCATTATAGTCTAAACCAATTTATTCCTATCAGATGATCATTCATCGTGAAAATGCACAGAAGTACAAAAGATATAGCCTAGTGTTTTGTCATATCATATAAAAAGAATAATAGGTGCAATTGTTGTTCTGCTTTAAAAAAGAAAAATGTTTAGTTTTTAAATTTGTAACTTATTGAAAAAAAATAACTTATCTTTGAGTTTACTGAGCTAGTTATCTATAGAGGTTAAAAAACTGTTGTGATGTGTGTTCTTTATTTATGACTTGCATCTACGTGAAATGCATCATTTCCCCAAACCTGATCTAATTAAAAAAGTCCCTGGGACAAACATATTTAAGAGATACATCAGGGTGTTATAGAGTCCAGAATGCTGACTGGAGCAGGCCTTATCTCTTTGTCCCTACTCTTGGGTCCTCAGTCACCTCCTCCCATGTCTCTGGATTCCTCCCAGTTTTTACCCCTTCTGATCTTTTCTGTGCCTCTCTCTCAACTCCCCTTGTTCTTGAAAGTAGCCCTCAAAGAATATAGCTGCTGTGTTCCCCTTCATCAGGCGGAAAACAGAGAAGGTCAGGCGAGCAGAGTCGGGACCCATTTCTCTGGTTTAGTGCATTACTCAACAAGCTGTTCAATAAACAAGAAAATTATTGCCAAATTCTTAATTTCAAATCATGATATAAAATAACTTAATGGCAAAAACATCTTAATGTGATTGTTTGACCAGAACCGCCTTTGCATTTGATATTGGCATGATTACTTTAAAAGTTAAATTTTTAAATTTGTATACAGGTAAAAATCATATTCTTTATCAAACAAATGACAATTATTTAATAATTTAAAAATATTTGTTATGCATATGACTCTTTGAGAGGCACATTAAGCTGCTGACTTTTGAATCATAGCCTGTA